CCCCCCCCCGACCCTGAAAAGGTGGGGTCCAATCCCAGGTCTCAACTACAGCCAGCCAGAGACTTTACCAGCAAGCAATCTGGCACCTCCGTGTATCTATAATTTAACATTTTTAAAACAGTTTTTGATAGTTATTAAAGGATTTTTTTTATTATGCAGCTAATTTCTTCAAAACTCCTATTCTTGTCATCCTTATTTATATGGTCATTTATTTTGTCAATATAATCCTCCTAGAGAAAAATATAATTGTTGATTCAGTGGTAAAATTAAGGCTTGACAAGTCTGAAACAAAAGTTCAAGTCTGAGAGCAGCCACTTTGTGAAAAAAGTTCCAATCTACCTCTCCCAAGACCCTGGATGGCTGGGACTATCTTGGGTAATACACAAAAATATAATCCTTCTTGTGCATATATGTCTACGCTTTTCCTCGTTAGTTTCGTTTCTTTTAAAAATGTGCTTACTCATGCCTCAAGGCTTATGTTTCATGCATCTAGAGGTTTTTGTACCTGATCTAATGCCTCCACATTTTCAAACAATGTCTATTGACTTAACGAACTATGACCACAAAATTTGTTGATCAAAAAAAAAAAAAAAACTGACCACAAAAATGTGAACAGAATTGCAGAGCATATAATAATTAGATTTAAAATACCATGGTTGCTACAATAGAAAGGTTTGTGCTATAGATACATTCTTTTTTTGAAGAAGGTAAAGTATTGTATTGCAAAAGAAACCTAATTACATCAGCTCATGTACAATGAGAACCTGTACATTGGGAATTTACAAAAAGATCTCTGAGAAATCAGATAAAAAAAGGTCCAGCTTGCAAAAAAGGTGATTCACAAGAAACTATGACCCCTCCCCATCAAGGATGACAATATTAAATGTCGATAAAGTGAAATTTACAAATAGGCATGGATTTAAGATATGAACACCTTGTTTCTGTAAGTCTTTATTTTTTACAGTAAAACACCCCACAATGAAAATCTTTTGGTTTGTAACTATTAACATAACACAAAAGCTAATTTCAAGGCTCATAAGTACAAGAAATCTCAAAAACCTTTTAATAGCATCCTTTGTGAAATCTCAAAACCCTCATATCATATGACATCCTTGGAATAGAAATTAAAAGATATACCATGCCAAGAGAGAATTTAACATACATCTACCTTCTCTAAGATCGCACAATCTATTCCTAAAATATTTTCCATTTTATTATTATCTTTTTGGGGGGAATTGATTTTGGAGGCATCTATTCCTCATAATTTCCACTTAAAACATCCACATTCTTCAAAGAAACTGCATTGTTATGGTTCAATCATCTCCATTCGATCAAACCAGTGAGGAAAAGTCATCTTCATAGATTCCAGTTCGTGTTCTTGTCACAACTTTCAGTCCTCTGATTGCATGCTTATCTGCTGTTTCTCCTAATCAAGTATGCCTTTCTTCAATCAGCCAAAAATAATGAATCATTTATTTACAGGAACTCACCGATTCAAGTTTGCATTGAACCAGCTCAGATTATACATTATTGGGAGATGCAAAACTAGAGTAGAGATACATTAAGAATTAAAAAGAAAGCAACACAAAAGATGGTATTTAATTAATGGACCAAAAAAAAAACAATAAGTGATTATCCAACTATGCAATTAGGAAGTACCTTCATTGGGGTGACATTGTACGTAGAAACACCAGTAATAGGAGTTGAGCTTCGGTTTTCAGCAGTGTAAAATGCAAGTGCACTTTCTCCTGGCTTGACCCTTACCTGCAAATTATAAACCAAAGCCATTACATTGTGAACTCATACTTTGTGCATCTGAGAAAAAAGGAATATTATGAAAGAGCGAACTTCTCTTTGTGTAGGGACAAACTTCCATGGCATCCCATCTGCTACATCTGCATTGAACTGCACCACAACCTCCCTATGCACATAAAACCAAAGAAAATTTTGAGGAACAAGGATGAAACAAGTTTGTAAACAATAAAATCTAAAAATCAAAATGCAGAGAAGATTAGAAGAATGCATTTCAAATGAAGATAAAAGACTAAGAAAGGCATAAATCGATGGACCATAATTCTTTAAACCAACAGGGAACACTTAACATGTGTAGGAAAATGATGGCTTTCAGCATGAAAACCAAATTTAATTAAATTTAATTTCGGGATTCCGAATTCAATGCTTAGAGAAGAGACTCTTCATGAGTATAGTGGGAACAAGTGAAATGCAGCATGCCTAGCTTAATCCCAGATTCAGCCCATCCTTTTTCATTATTACAACAGGGAAAGGTATTTTAATCTCATCTTAAATGCCTTTATCTTTATCTAAGTTCTTAAAACAAAGTCTACGTAATCAAGTTGATGAAAAATCAATAAAAAAAAGAACTTAACCCAAAACAGAACAAAGAAGCCCCTTGTACTAATTGACAAACTCAAAATTTAATCTTGACTGACAATCTCAACATGGAGATGCAAATAACTAATTTCTTAGACTGCTTGTGGCAGAGAAAAAAAGAGAGTTGCAAGTGAGAAAGTTGTTAGCAAACTATTATCAATCAAACAACTGACTTTTTTAGACTCCTAATCAGAGAGATTGCTAACTCCTCTATAAGCCAATAAATATGGGCTCATTACAGAGTATCAAATTGGTTAAAGACTCGGCTCAAAGTTGGGTAGATTCTCATACTTTGAAACAATATGATGCAGGACAACCTGCAAAAAGAAAAAAGAAGATAAAAATAACCCAGGAATCAGCAGCTAGAGGAACTTATAAGAACCAACACCTAATAATTGCTTGAAGGAATCAACACCACTAAGAAAGGTAGAATTACTCCAACATTTAACAGGAATACTAACACTTTATTATTTGATATCAAAAAAAAAAAAAAGAGGATAAGTTGGTCAGTCCTTTCCCTTTGTTTTCTAACCTTAACACCAACTAAGAAACACTACTAACAAATGAACTAGGATGACAAGTCTTACCTGATTTGGGAATGACTCTAACATAATAACATAACTTTCAAATCCAATAAGAAAACTGAGTCCTAGTGTAATTACGAAAGCCAGCTCTTAATCAATTAGAATTACCAACAAACTATAAATAATTATTAAATGGCTACAGAAAGATTACAGCAATACACTTTTGTTGGTGCCTATTTTTAGTTGCCAATCATGTGCATAGCCCCGTTTATAGTAGGGCAAGATCAATGGGTTGGAGGATGACCTGACCCTGTTTGATAACCTTTTGAGATCTCGCCACTTAGCCATGAATATCTTCTCCTTGGCCTAGACCATCTTGGTTACTCTCATTGGATCAGTCCAGATCACCTTGGTTTTCCTACTTTATTCAATATGTAGAGTAGATGTCCTATCACCGTCCTACTGTTGGACCACATGACCCCAACCTAAGACATTGGGTAAATGAAAGACAGAATGACGGATAACTTATCCTTCAAGGAAGAGCTGCATCTCTTTCACCCTCTACCTAACAAAGTGTATTAGCATTACTTTTAGAAGATGCTTTGTTTTATTTTGTTCTCACTCCCTAAATAAGAGTAACGGATTACATTTTGTGGACAAAATAACACATAGACTCAACTTTGAGGAACTAGCACAAAATCAGCCGTCTCTCCATTTCCCCCTTCTTACTTTACTATTCTTCTCTTCTCTTTCTTCTCCAGCAGAGACGTAGCATTGATTGGCATGTTGCTAAGTAGCCACTCTGGTTCAGATGAAAACACTCCAAAACACCAACACCCACACGTTTACTATCAAAAACGAAAAATTAAATAATAGATTTGATGCAATGAGAAGTTAATTACAAGAAAGATGGACATATGCAGAATATGCAGATGGCTATCCTAAAATGTTCAGTTTTGATGTATTACATCAAACAGTATCAAGGGGTTTTTCTTATTTATGACTAGACTCCTTTATGAATTATTTGAGAACTAGTCTGGGAGAAACTTTTGCTACCGTCTAATATACAGAAGAAGAGATAACCTCTGGTGTAGCCCAAAATCTTTTTATTGTCATGAATTTGAATAGCATTCCTCTCATCCTCTGTAACCATGGCAGGACTATTCCATATTAAGTTAATGTAACAGTAACTAACATTTCATAGAACAAATGCTCTGTATTGCATACAACCACCATAATTAAAATGATCCAGACATCTTGAGAATTATTCAGAAAGCATATCACAATAAAACGAAAATTTAACGAGAAATATTCCAAGATATTCCTAACGCCTTTTTCAGACATGCCTTGCCAAAATAGTGAAGTAAAAGTAATAAAACAAACAACATAGACACAAACCTTGTAGGGGCAGATCCATCTTGAGCATGTCTTGCAATCTTTTCCTCAACAGTCTGCAGAGACCCATGCCTTGTCACAAGGGATAAAGGATCATTCAGAAAATAAACCCCCTAAAAGCTGGGATTTTGATGAGAAATCCAACACGGTTTTTAATTAATTAAAAATGAGAAAAATAAGAATTGGGTCTCACCTCGCGTCGTTGAACAGTGCCCCCATAACCAGTAGCTTGACAGAATCTCCTGTAAAGTGGAACAGCTGCATAAGTACAACCCACCATAACGCAAGCCACTGCTGTTAAGTACACAAGAGTCTTCTTTGACTTTCGCTCTCTTGCAGCCTGTGCAGTCTGAGTCGTATAACCCCTCCTCACCCAGGGACCCACAGTCGACGAAGAACATCTCGGCAGATTCCGGGAAGCAAAAGTCGTTGAAACACAATTGCAGTTAACACCGAATGGCCTCATATAAGTAAATTCACGCCTTGAAGTGAAACCCCAAAACTGAGAACCGCCCAAAATGGATCCGCCATTGAAGTCCAATCCTAAAGCTTCTTTTACTTGCTTGGTTTCAAAGAGAAAAGAGCGTGAGTTCTTCAAACAAGGTAGGGGAGGGATTTTCTTAGACAGCAGCCTCGAACAGAACATGTTTGCCGTAGAGATGAAAATTCGATGAATGAATCAATAAATCAAAGAAAAGTGGACCATCTCTTCTTAACCTTCTCTCTAGTTGATTTTCGATCACCACAGATTCACAGGCTGTGAATCACAGCCCACAGGAAAATAAACAAAATACATTAGGGTCCGTTTGGTTAACGGGAATGGGTTGGAACCGAAATGGTAATAGCCCTTTGGTAGGGCGGAATGGGATTCCCATTCTCATTTCTGGGCTCTGGCCGTATGACATTCCATTTCAGGGAATAGTCATTCGACATTTCGACTCATTCCAGACTCCTCCGATAAGAATTCCCTTCTATTTGGCAAAAATAAATAAGAAATGCCAAGTGATTTAAAAATCCTCAAACCCTATTTTTCTTTATACAATGTCAGTCCTCCTTTGAAATTAATGCATATTGATGAGTGGTGATTTGGCCCGACCTATTCATGCACGGATATGTGGAAACAACCTGCTGATCGGGCATTAACTTAGCATTCCCTGCCACCTCAGCGAGGTCAGGTCACATTGGATACCTCGGGGCTCGGGCACCTTGGCCAAGATCAAGGTCCAAGCAACTCATGATGACCCAACCTATTGAGGTGACAAATAGCCAACTTCTAGCATTGTCCGAGCAACTCACACATCTGTAGGTCTTATCCTTATCTCGCCCAAATCGAACGGACTCGATAAGCCTTATCAGCTAGCACGAAATCCACCTCCTAGTGCGGAATTGACTCCTAACAGCACGGGCCAAAGATCTCGAAGGTGTTTCGTGATACCTACGATAACTCACCTATATAAAGGCATCAACTCCCAACGACATAAGGTACGCGCGATTTGCTACTCACTAGTCTACTAGCATACAAACATTCAGCTTGCCCAACTAAGTACTAACTTAAGCATTGAAGTACCCAAACTAGGTAAGCCACCCCAGGTCCTCTGAACCTTCCTCATTTGCAATTCGACCAGCCAGTAAAGCAGACTAACATCTGAATTGCCCTCCAGCCAGGAGTATCCAAATCACGCTCCATCACATATCTTATAGGATCACATTCAAATTCTCATTTGAAATAAACAACTTGGGAGATAGATAGACTATTCTTATTTTGATTTTAGGACACATTGGTTTGGTTTTGATTCTGATCATAAACCAAACAAACCCTTAGAATTACAAATAATATGATTCTCCTCCTAATGACGATTAGGGGTGCAAGCCGATTAGGTTGGGTTGAGTCAATCCTAACTCCACTCAAGTTGTTTAACCCACTACTTTAACTCTAACCCAACCCTAGTACATCAGGTTGGGTTTGGGTTGGTCCGATTTTTCTACTTCCTCTTTTTAGATGTATTCATTTCCTTAGAAGGGGGTGTTTGACAACATCAACCCTAAGGGTTCATCTCAATTTAATATTATCACTATTGTGTGTAAAAGAGTATAGTTATCATGTTTTAGGAAAAAATGCATTAAAACTTAAAATTTTTTGACATATAGTATCTATGCATATATGTTCAATATGGATCAGGTTGATCAAGGTTTCCACCCCAACTCAAGACAAAATTAAATCAGATTCGTACTTTTCAACCCTAACCCTAATCCAAACTTCTGCCCAACCCAATCCTAGTTTTTGGGGAAATTAATCTAGCCCAAGTTGCAGCTCAATCTGATTGGTAGTTGTAATTTTTAAACCAATGTTTTCTGAATGCCCTCAATTCTAAATTCTCTACAGTTTTACTTGTAAAGAACCCCTGGCCAATCCCATTAAATGGGAATATGATAAAGATATGCATAGGCTTGTCAATGGTACTCGAAAATCAGAGGCCCAATTCAATTATCTCAGATTTCGGATGATGAATTTATTTAATCAGATCAGATTTAGATTTGACTCCATCTAATCTGATTAAAATTTATTTATTAATTTTAATATATAAATTTTATATACTTATATTTAAAATTATAAAAATATATTTTATATATTATATTACATATAAATTTATATATATAATAAATTTAATATACTATGTTTATATTAATTTATTATATATATAAATTGAAAAATAAATAATTTTTTATTTTTTTAGTATTTAAAAAAATTAAAACAGATAAATTAAATCGGAATTTGACCCGAATCCATTAAGATTCGAATTCAAATCTTAAAATCCAATTGAATTTTGGATCAGATTCGGATGTAGGTTCTCACCGATCGAATTGGATGTAAATTTTGTTGCATCTTATTCGAGAACAGTCCGATTACAGCCCTAGATATATGTCATTTTAATGAAGCGTGATCCGAAGGTAACCCATGGTGGGGCTACAAATGGATAGGTTGAATCAGATATAGGTAATCCAAATGTGATCCGTTTATATTCGGATTGGAACAGAATCTTGTCCGTCAATTCAATATTGATTTTGAATAGAATTATAGAATGAAAAAAATTGCTTTAAACTTGAACCTTACCAAATACTTGAAAACTAAGTCTATTTTTAATCAAAATACATAGCCCTGACCCCCTTCATGTTGGAAACAAATGTTCAGTACCGGAGAAAAGTTTTTGAAATGTGATTTCATATGTCAAATTAAGGGTGTTCTGTAACGTAAATTGTTTTTCTTATTGCTGATTCCAAAAATAAATTAAAATCATTTTATCTAAAAACAGATCGTTTCTTAAAACAAAAAAAAATAAACATGTTATTGGTTGTATATATATGTTTTTGTTTTCAAAACTGAAACCAAAAACATGTTCCTGAAACATGTTGTCATTTAAGTACTCAACATCATGTTCAATAAATCATACAATTTATTTAAAACAAAAAAATATATATATGTTATTGGTTGTATATATGTTTTTGTTTTCAAAACTGAAATCAAAAACATGTTCTTCAATAATCCTTGCCTCCATCTAGGTCAAAATAAACTCCCTTGTGTTTTTCACGTGCCCTTTTGCAAGTGCTGTTTGGATTGTGTTATAGATGGGGCTGAATGTGGAAGGTAACAAATGGCCTTTGGGTTGTGGGTTGCCCTTCGAGAAGAGGAAGGTGAAGGATTCCCGGGGAGTTCGCCCCGTGGGAATACCCCGATGCTTAAGTTAGGACTCTGAGAGAGCTATAAGAAATGCAAAGAGAGCTAAGAGTGCAGATAGCGCTAGATCATTTCAATTACCTTCGCCCCTTGGAAACCGGGGCCTTTAAATACAGATGTTCTTGTCAAATCAGGTGTAACCGCCACTGGCCCTCTGTCGCAACCGTTATTTGCCAAGGCTACGCAGGTAACCATTGCGGAGTGCTGCCCAATCAAATGAGAGACACGACCCGGAAAGGACAGACACGGCGCCACCTGTCGAGAGACGTGGGTGCAGTCCATCGGGCTAGCAGGGACTGCGCCGTCAGTCAGGAAATGTGGTGCAGTCTGACGGGTACAATCTTGTCAAATAAGAAGCTTCTTGAAAACGCCGCGTCGCTTAATAGCGAGCTGCCTTGTATCGAGCTATCCCATAGCGAGCTGCCTTGTAGCGAGCTTCTGGAGGTATTCCGAGGTGATTCTGCCTGAGGTTGCCTTTGAGGCGTTCCTCTTGCCTAAGTATTGGAGTGAGCTGATTGTCCGAGATCACGAGTTGGGATAGACTTAGCTTGGAGTGTTCCCTTTCAGCATACTGGGGTCCTTGAGCTTGCGCTGTAGCGAGCTTGTTCCGTGGCGAGCTATAATGTAGCGAGCTGACCTGCGAGGACTTTAACGAGCTCGTTACTCAGTTGTAGCCAGGCTGTCATGCTGAGTTGTTACTTATGTCGAGTCATGCCCACGTGTTGCCTTCTTAAGAGGTCGGGTCAAATCACCCTCCATCAATTGCCCCCCACTCCTCGGGCTAAGGGTCTCACTCTTTGCGCGGGGAGTCCATGAGGTGATGGGCGGATTTGACTCGAAATTCAAACTAGATTGACCGATCGCATTAAATACACACGCGGATGTCAAGCAATTTCTAGACTTTTCAAGTGCCAAAACGGCTCTCAATTTCGAAAGACGTGCAGTCGGCATTACCTTAATCATGGAAGACATGCAGCCAGTCATACTTCAGTTTCAGAAGACGTGCGGTCAGTTTGATTACGAACCGTCGGATTCGCCTTGATCTGCTCCGTCGGTTTGTGGGCATAGTGGCTACAAATAGGAGGGCCCCAAGCCTCATTTTTCTCATGCCAACTTGCCTTGCTTTCGGATTTGAGGTCGCACCTTTGCCTAGTTGCTCGAGCTCTTCTTCTGTTCACACCGTCCTTTCGGTTCAGCTTTTTCCTGGTGAGTCCTCTTGTTCTGTCAGCAATGTCTGGGTACCCGTACAACATCTTTCCCTGGGGTGGTAACCAGGATGACGCCCCTTCGAGCTCAAGGGGAGCTTGGGAGCAGGCTCCAGAAGCTTGGGAGGCCTTCGACGAAACGACTTCCACTTCCCGGGGTAGGGAGCCGGACAACTTCGGTCCTTCCTCCATGTCGATGGAGAGACTCAGGACCTTGGTCCTTCAATTTGACCTTCCCAGAAATCTCATCTACAGTCTCCCATCTGGCAACTATCCTTGGGAACATGGTCATGACGAAATCATGATCTTCCAGGAACAGCTCATTGCTGGCCTTTGTCTTCCTCTGCATCCCTTGATAGTGGAGGTTTTAAACCATTTTAATGTTACTATAAACCAATTCACCCCAACTCAATCCGAAATGTAGTTGGGACAATTTCTTTGTTTTATGAGTATTGTCTTCCTCTTGACCTCGACATCTTCTCCTCTATTCTTTCCATTAAGAATGCCTCCCTCGGAGCGCCTCTAGAGAGGCGTTCTTATTACTTTTCTCCCCGTTCTTATTATTTTGTAGTTCGCAACCCCGAAGGGTGGCCCTTCCAGACCCACTGGAGGGCCGCCATCCAAGATTTGGGTGTTGACTTGGATCCAAAAGTTCGGGAGACGTTGCAATCCTGTGCAGTGATTGGCTTCCATTGATCGGACTATTTGGCCGAGGACAAGCTCGCGTAGGCCGGCCTGAGCCCTGGTAGGTTGCCCTTAGGTCGCGCTCCCTTTTTTTTTGGACTAATGCCTTGTGATTTTTGGCAGCCAACATGTATGGTGTAGATGCACGCCGCCTTCTGTCAAGCACCAAAAGCGCAGGGGGAAGAGGTTGCGCCCTGACCGAGCGTCCACTTCCGGGAGCATCGAGTTTGAGGCTGCCAACCCAGCCTTCGTTCCACCATCGCCAGAGGTCTCACCGGTCCCGTTCGAGGGAGTA